TGCCAGCCATTCTTGTCCCGTCTTTCAGAGGCTGATAGAGGCAGAGATCCTACCAGTTGGGAGCCAGGAGGGGCAGGGCCTCCGCTGGTGGATGCTGGGCTTAGAGAAGGGTGTGGGGTGTACACAGCCTCTGGTCTCTCCTCTTCATTTCCTGCTTGCCCCACTTTGCCTGAGGATGTCTTTTGACCTCTACCTTCCTTTCTCCAGTCCCCGCCTTCCTCCAGCTCTTCCTCCTCCTCCTCTTGGTTTTTTTTTCGGACCCATGGAACAGACTGAGCTGCTGAGCCTCCAGTTGCTTCTGCTTGGTGTCCTTACCTGCGTGGCAGGCAGGCATCCCCAGGAGGAAGCCGTGTGGTGACAAGGGTCGGGATGGGTGGTTCAGAGCAGAGTGGGTGGGATGGTCTTCTCCTCCACACACAGGGCCATTCTGGCAGCAGTCCATGTGGCTCCGTGATCACAGTGCTGACTGATGTAACACCACCCCAGGCTTGTCAGTGAATTACCACCAGGCTGCTTAGGAAACTGAGGCAGCTGGGACTGAACCCCTTCCTGGCTTCCCAGGTACGTTCCGGGTGGCTACGCCCTGGGCCTTCCCACTCCAGCCTCCTTTCCTTCCTTGCCCAGCCTTCTCCATTGAGAACCTCAAGACAGTTGCTCTCTTTTTCCCATTCCCCACTCCTGGCTTTCCTGTGAATGGGCTGAGTAGCCAGCAGAGGCTGGGGGAAGGGCAGCCAGTTGATGTGACCGGGCTTCGGCTGTGGGTGACAGCTGGGTGAGGCTGTGGGTGTGGCAGAGGCAGGGCCGTCCCGGCTCCCACAGGAGGGCGCAGACGCTTGAACTCAGTGTGCATCTCTGGGTTTAATCGCTCGGTGCTGTTCAGATGCTTTGGGCATCATTGTCCCTGTGTAGTCAGGGTGCTGGTCTTGCTCTAGGTGTCTTTCACCTTTGATGGGGCTGAGTCTGGGGCTGTGGTCTGGAGTTGAGACCAGCTGAGTAGTGGCTCTGGGGCTTCCTCAGCTTTGAGCATTGCTTTCTTCTTCTAGACCTCGTTGCTTCTTCCTTAAAACAAGAGGCCTGGTCCAAGAAGCCAGTGCAGTGCCTCTCTAGGCAGTTGACACAGAAAGGCCTTTCCTCTGCCTCACTTATTGCTGGTCGCAGTGAGAGCAGAGTGATTAAAACCGAGGGAGGCCAGCGAGGTATGGAGCACACCTGCATTCCTAGCATGGAGGGAGCCCGAGGTAGAAGGGTTGTAAACTCAAGTCCCACCTGGACAACTTAGCAAGGCCCTGTCTCAAAATAAAAACTAGAGAATTGTGGTGGGAGCACCACCATAGCTCAGTGGTTAGAGCAGCCTTGGGTTCAAGCCTCAGTATCACCAAAAACAAACAAAAAAGTGATGTCACCAAAGAAAAGTGACAAAGACCCACAGAACTGGGCCTGTCACACTGTGAGCAGAATTGAGACCACAGGAGCTTGCCTTGTCTCCAGGAAAGCTTTCTTCCAGCAGGTGGATCACTGCCATGTTCTTGGCCAGTAGGGCCAGTTGTCGTCAGCTGAGAGCAGATTTGGGGTCTGAAGACAGAAGGGACACAGTGCTGGGTGATTTTCGAGGCACTGTGGGGTCTCACTTGCGCCCCCATTTCCTGGGTGTGCATGTCTCCCCTGCTGTCCAGGGAAGCCTGGGGGAATGCAGTGCCTAGGTTCAGCTTCTCTCCTCCCTGTTTGAGACAACTCTCTGGACAAGCTGCTTCAAGGAGCCCGAGCCCCTGGCCAAGCCAGGACGGCACGGAAGGGTCTGGTGTCTCTTCCTCTGCAGGTCTAGCCCCTACAGCACCATGTGCTGAGGGATGGCAGGGAGCCGGGGCAGGAGCAGGAACAAAGAGGGGGTTTGCTCCAGTGCAGCTGGGAAGGGAAGCCAGCGAGCGAGCAAGCTAGGTCCCTCAGGATGTGCTGGCTGCAGAGCAGAGAGCTGCTGGCTGTGCTTTGGAGCCTCAGCTCTCACATCTGTCCCTGGGCCTGGCTCTAGGTGACCTCTGCTCCCATTCACAGCTCTGCCCTTTCCTAACAGGGAAGTTGGTTTTACTCTGGTCCCACAGCTATCTCTGTGAATTGGCCTTGGTTTTTCTCTGCTGAGGTTCCTATTTCTGTCCCTCATCTAATTCTTTGTCTCCTGCTTACGAGCCTGGCTTCTTCCGCCATGATGGAGGGGCACTATGTTGCCAGTTGGGGGGCAGGACAAGGGGCAGCCCCCATAGGGGGCTCAGATGTGTCTGGCACTTTTTTCTTGACCTTTGAGTTCCTTAGGTTGAAGAGCCAGGGGGCAAGGCAGGAGCTTTCTGTCTCAGATCCAGCAGAGGTTAACAGCCCCTGGCACAGGCCGAGGTGGTGAGGCTTGGCCCGAAGTTGTGCAGGAGGGGCTGGGCTGGAGGCCCTGATGGTTCACATCTCCTCCACTCCACCAGTCCTGCACTATCAGGGATATGCATTGTGCAGTGCACATCTTGGCTCTGTCCCCTGGTTTGAGTGTCCCTGGGGCTGAAGCCGTAGCTCTAGAGAGGACTTGCACCTCGCTCATCCAGCTCTTCTGGATGTGGGTAAGCGATCCCATCCTTTCTGCGCTGTCTGTGGGACGCCCTAGCGGCTGTGTTCTGCTGGGCCTTGCAGTGGCCATGGGGGAAGCGCAGACTTGGTTTGGTCCTTTGCTGGCTCCTTTGAGGAAGCTCTTTGCGGGCCGATCAATCCAGAGAACACCCTGGATGCTGTGGCCTTCGGGGCCCAGGCGCTGTGTCCAGCCTGCATGTGGGTGAAGTGCAGGGATGAGTTGCTAGGTGGGCAGGGGCTTTTGTGTCATCGGGTCACCAGGCAAGGCCAGCAGGTTGAAGGGGGTACAAGACCAGATCTTCCCACTAGGCCTCTAGGTAGAGATGAAGTCCCTGTGGAGGATTTGTGTTTAAATGCCAGGTGAGGCCAGAGGTACAAGGTGGCAAAGGAGTTCTGGTGCCCGGGTGCCAGCCAGGGAGGCAGAAGCTGACCTTTCTTAAGTCCCTTCTTGCTTATCTGATTTCATCTCCAGGCAACCGTGTGACGCAGGCATCATTTCCCTCATGATTGAAGAAACTGCAGTTGCGAAGTGACTCAACCAAGGTCACACACTGGGTAAGTGCAGTTGGTATTTGCATCCAGCATCTCTGATTTCAAAGCCTATACTTTCCTGCCCCCCGGGGACTAATACCGTGTGTTTTTGTGAACTGAGACCCTCAGAACTGCATGCACCAGAGTGATCATGATCAGCAGACGCCCAGGGAGGTCTTTTCAGGTCCCCAGGAGTGGCTAGGTGAGTTCCGCGTGGAGAGGCGGGGCTGAGATGGGTGCCCTTTGGTGTCACTGGACAGGCAAGGCCACGCAGAGGAAGGACATGCTTTGCCAGACAAGCGCAGAGTTTTTAACAAGGTGCTCAGTGCTGTGCTGGGTGCTGGGGAGGCAGAATCCAAGAAAACCAAGTGTGTCTCTTGGGAACTGCGTTCCAGTGTGGGGAGAGATCAGTGTGAGCCGAGTGGTGCAGGTGCCTATAATCCCAGCACTCTGGGAAGCTCAGGCAGAATTGAGCCCAGCTTGGCAAGTTTGAGCCCAGCCTGGGTAACTTAGCAAAGAGGCTCAGTGTGAAGGCTGAGTTCAATCCCCATGACTGTGAGAAGATTAAAGAAGAAGAAGAAATTTTGATATGTCTACAGCAGCATCTCTGCAGATTATGTGGGGATGGAGGAGCACATCCCATATGAGAAGGGGTCCAGGGAGTGGTGGAGAGGAGCGCAGTCACTGGCATGCTATGTTGTTGAACTTGCTTCCACAGGGTCAAGACCGCTAGATACTAACTCCCTTGCTTTCTGACAACTAGGAAAGTCCTTCTGTGCTCCCCACAGCTTATAGGAATATAGAGCGAGTCGGGGTTGAGCGGGGAAATTGGTGTCAAGCTTACGTCACTAGCAGACTACTTTTTTCCATTTCCACGGCCACCCTTGACCGCCTGTCTCCCAGCTCACCAGGTGCCAGCTGGCTTTCGTGCCTCAGCCTGGTCACTGTGCCTCTCTCTTGTCCCCGCAGTCCAGGGAACATTCCGGTCAGGTCTGTGCCAAGTCACCGCTCAGATGTGTCTGCAGGAGGCGGACTCACAGATCAGTCCCTGTGCCAGGGCGCGTGGTTCCAGAATGGATGCTCAGGAGAGGGAAGCGGGCGTCACCCTGTGTCGGGTGTTGGGGTTTGCTTTATGCCATGCAAGGTTGGAACAGGCTGGTGGTGATGGAGCCGGGACATGTATTCTGTGTGGGTGGCTCCTGGGCTCAGGGTGAGCCTGGCGGTGTATGACTCTGCCCCTCCAGCCACCAGTGCGGGGCTGCCCATACCACAGAGCTGCCATCTGCTACCAGTGGTCTGGAGTCACCCAGTGACTGGGTGTGGCTGGGGGTGTTGGGGAGGAGGCCGCTCAGGGCAGTGGGGCTCACGCCGCTTGATGTGGAGGGGTCAACAGACTGTTGGTAAAAACTCACTTGTTTACCCCTTTGGTCCTCAATTTCCTTATCTTGGAAACAAGGGAGATGAACCAGAATCTGTTTGAAGGATCCAGCTGTCACCGTGGGATCTTGCCAGGATGTTCGAGGAGGTACTGCTCAGCCAGAAACTCAGGACCAAGAAAGCAGACTCGAGTCATCATAAGAGGGTGTGTGTGTGTGTGTGTGTGTGTGTGTATGTGTGTGTGTGTGTGTGTGTGATTTTGACGACTTGCGAGCAGCTGGAATCCTGCTTCTGTTTGAAGGATCCAGCTGTCACCGTGGGATCTTGCCAGGATGTTCGAGGAGGTACTGCTCAGCCAGAAACTCAGGACCAAGAAAGCAGACTC